ACTCCTTCTGTGTTGTTAACACATTCAGAGTGAAGTTCTCACAGTTGGAAATGTGAGAGGAGGCCTCTGTCCACAGGAAGTACAGCGTGAAAGTGATTGTTTACTAAACACGGAGCGTCGCATATGAAGCTTCCTGTGGTGGTGAAGTAAAATAACACATGGTTATAGAAGCTATGAATGATTCAGCTTAAAGCTGAATGTCATATTGTCCGTTTCTCATCCATTCATCCCCGTTGGACAGGATTTTTGCAGGTTCTAGTCGAATCCTGACATCTGTAGAAATATCTGCGAATGTTTTGTAAATCTGATTTAAACACGTTTAATAAACAGCATCTAATTTCTTCTTGGTTTTACGATTTTCATAATCAGACCTCCAACCGGAGATGTGACTCCATACTGGAGTCACATCCAGTATGGATGTGACTGGATGTGACTTTATTTTATAGTCTCTAAAATAAACTTTAGAGACTATAAAGCATAAGGAATGGTCTGAGTGAAGCGGCTCTGGGAGCAGCATTTATGGTGAATCTTTCCCAAACTCGTGGCTCGCATTTTGCTGCAACAGTTTTTCCTTCCACTTAGCTTTCCATCGAACAACCAGATTCTTTATCAATGTCTGTTAAGCAGCTGTGAAGTCTGCAGTCTTCGTCCTTATTGTGAAGTGATCTTTTTCTTTCTGCTCTAAATGGATTAAAATGCATTTTTGTCTTTTGTTTGTTTTTGGGGGTTTTTCACCTCGTTCGTCAGAAAGCGCGTCCGCGGATGAGGCCCTTCATTCAGCGCTCAGAGGCCCAGTACAGGAGGCCGGAGGTGCCGAGGCGGCCGTACCGGCAGCCCGATCCACAGAGAGGCCAGAACGCGGCAGCGTTGTTGTTGTCGTCTAGGAGACCGTTCCAGCTGCGGCGACGGTGAGACCCAATGGGCCCCGCTCAGACACAGCCTCATCCCTCTGGAGCGTTTCCACAGCTTGTGCTTTCCTCTCTGCAGACCTCTGCCGCCGGTCCAGCAGACGCAGAGAGAGGCTCGCCAGGCCACCTTCCTTTTCCGCAGAGGGCTCAAGGTGCGCTGCGTTATATCGCTGACGTGGATGAAATCAGACCTGACGTTTCCCAAGGCGACATATTTAATATTGCCTCGCTGTGCTGTGCAGGTTCAAGCCCAAGTACAGAAGACAAACCTTCACACTCCTCCAGTCAGAACGCGACAGTAAGTGTCTTCAGTGCGATTGGTTGGATCCATTAGAAAGAGAGGCTGGGCGTCCCTTAAAAGTCTTAAGTTCATATCTAAAATGAATGCCTTATAAATTGATTAAAAAATAAACAAACATGCATATCTGTATGTGTGACGCAGCTCTCCTGCTTGCCCACTAGGTGGCACACGTCTACAGCCGGCAGTGGAATTCTGACTGTTTCTATTGACAACCCGACAGCCAGAACTCAACCAGAGTGAGCGTTCAGTGCCACCTCCTCCGAAGTAGAAAGTTCTGTGGAGGGATAATGTATCTTAACACACCTCTGCCTCCAACAGCATATGTGTTTAACTTGCTCGTAGGCCCCCTAGTGCCTGGACGCTGCAACCGCCGCCCGTCAGCTCGGCTCCGGTTAAGGTGGAGACGGAGGAGAAGAAGGTCCCTAAAGGAGTCCCTCTGCAGTTTGACATCAACAGCGTTGGGAAGCCAGTAAGAAGACGTTCGGATGTCTTCCTTCAGGTGATTTTTTATTTCGTTTTTCCCCCCTGGTCATTCATTAGTGTCTGTATTTTTTTGTTTTTGCCTCCTCAGCAAACATCGATGACTCTGAACGAACGTTTCCGCATCCTCAAAGATCGGCGCGTCGCCACGGCGCAGAGCGGCCGGGGCAGCAGGTTTGTTACCGTGGGTTAGCCTGACGTGAAGGAAGAGATGACGCCCCAAAGACCCTCCGTCCTGCTCCGACACCGCCCCAACAACGGGACGTGTGCCGAGTTGTTGTGATGACACTGAGAGGGAAGCCTGGATGGGACAAATAAGCAGGATTCACATGGCTGCTCTGTGTTACCGGAACAGTTGGAAAAAGCTTCCATTTTCTCCTCAATGTCGGTGTATTCAACTTTTTGTGTTGTGACAACTCAGTGCAGGGGAATATTTTAAACTTTTTTTTTTTTAATCCCCGTTATGACTCAGAACTGTTAACACTACAAACACTTTTTAAAAAGCATTTTGTTTTCAGAGAAGACGACGATGTATTTGCTAGGATGGTGTGTGGGGAAAGAACGTTTTTCTGCCAGTTTTGTAAAGTTCTTTAAATAAAAGATTGTCTAAATACTGATCTTGATACAGCATCATGACCATGACTTCTGATTCTCAGTATTATTTAAAAACAATTAAAATTTTTGAGCTCTATATTATAATGCTATTCCATTATCGAAAGCATGCCTGGAGTGCTGCCTTCATTCTGTCCTACGTTTGAGAAATTCTCTAATCTCCAGTGGCAACCATTGAGCTATGCAAAACACTTGGGTGGACCTAGCCCCGCCTCCTTGGAGCTTTTCCTCTGGGATTAGTTACTTTAACTATAATTTAGACCCAAAGAGCAGCTACTGGGTTTTAAAACCAGTTCAGTCTGGAAAAAGTAACTTTAAGTGATCAAAGCTAATTAAATGTCAACTTGTCACTTAATAGCTAACAGCTGATAAGACTTACCAGCCAACAGGCCAAAAGCTAACAAGGGTGGAGTTATGAGGTGTTTTTTGTAATCCTGACCGGACACACATTGGCTGCTTTGACCAGTTGGAATGTTTAAACACGAGCCGAGCCACACAAGCACCTGAGAGCGAGTGAAACCACATCTTGGAATCGGAATATTGCTTTTATTTAAATACAATAAAATTTTGCAAAGTAACAAAACTATTGGCATATGAAATTCAAACACCATTTAACTGAACAAAAACATGGCTCACTTCATTTTGTCTGCGACTAGTGTTGGCAACACTAGGTTTTATTTTCAACTCGCTGCTCGGCAACAGAAACCCCCTCCCCTCCCCTTACACCCCCCAAATTCATTTACACTTTTCAGACTATCTTACAACAAGAGTGCTGAATAAAAATGAGGTAAGAAAGTGGTTTGAAGGTTACAGATCATGCAGAACATGCTGAACAGCAACGAAACTATTTTTGTGTAGGAGGAAGTTAAAAAAAAAAAAATCGTGTGCATCTCAAAAGAAATCGATTTACACAGCTTTTAATCTTTGGTTGACGTACGTTGAAGTATGTTGGATGATTTCACAGCTTCTTCCCCCTCCCTCCGTTGGCCCCGCTTCCCACAGGAAAACCAGTGGAGCTAAAACTGAAAGTAAAGAGGGGGGGCATGGTAATACTCTTAAATTCACTTTAAGATCAAATAAGTGGGTTTTCTTCAACTCCTCCCCCCTTTGCTGGCTTATATTAACATCTGACGTCGACAGGTGCTGTCGCCCATCAAGGCAAATAATACTTTATACTATACAAAAATGTACATTCAATTGAGCTCAAGCTATGAATTGGCAATTGCAGCGTGATATCTGAGTTAGTGTTAAACATTTGTCAGAATTTTCATTTTATTTTGCCTACATTTTATTTGTCTTCACAGAGGGCAGCCTGGGAAGAGGCTGAGCTGTTTAAACACTGTAAAACAATAGAAGAAGGAGAAGAGTCACCGGGCTACTATTTAACAGGTTTCGTGGAATTGTTCATTTTGTGGAAATAGCAGCCCTGTAATAAATAAACACTAATAACAGTAGAACTCAGGAGGACTGATGCGTGAGTTGGACTTGATGCAAGGTGACGTCAGCAGTGTTGGCGCTCCGACAGAAACAAAATAAAGACTCTCCCAGTTCTTGGATCCCGACATTGAGCAGCTAACCCCTCCCGACTCTGTCTCGTTTAAAAAAATAAGCACTTTTTTTTCTACTTCCTGTCTGTCTCTTTTTCGCCGGTGAACCCCTTTGAGCGGTTTGGGTTTGGTTCTGAAGCCGCTCCAGCCTGCTTGCCACGCGCCCCTCTCACACTTCCAGTTAGCATCTCCCCCTCTCTCTCTGTCTCAAACACACACACCCTTTGATGATTGCATTAACACTGGAAAGGCCCACAGTACAGACACGCGCATACATTTCAAAACCAGTTCACAGTCTCGCTTGCTAACGCGCACACCCACACACACACACACACACACACACATATAAGCACTGTACTTTGTGGTCAAGCTGGTGGCTAAAGACAGTTTCTTTCTTTTTAATTTCACATATACTAATTATATTAAGTTGTACAAGGAGATACTTTGTTTCTGCCCTGTGCGAAGCAGGGCAGACGCACTTCAAGCGGAGGTGACATTGGGCTGCGGTTGTTGGCCAGCGTCGAGCTGAGTCTGGGGCTGCTGAGGCTGGAGCTGCTGGGGTTTGGGGTGGAGCTGCTGGAGGCCGGGGGCGGAGGTGGAACCAGGGGTGGCGGCTGCAGCGGCGGCAGCGACGGCCGAGGTGGCGCCGGTCTGAGCCGTTAGCTGAGACAGCTGCTCGCTGTTAGCCAGAGATTTGAGCACGGCGTTCTCCCGCTCCAGCACAGAGTTCCTCTCAAACAGCTCCTTGATCTGCTCCTTCAACACCTCCACCTCCTCACGCACTGCATACATCAGATGGCTTTTCACCAGGTCCTGCACAAAACACACGGAAAGGAGCAGGTGGGTCAACAGGCCAATTATGGCGCAGCACAGAAATTACATGATTTTATTAACAGTTGGCTTATTTCAATTATTTAATAGAAAATCTGAAACTTTTTCATTTTAGCGATTGATAGCCAATGTCAACCCAAAATTCTGTTTCTTTAAGAATTGGAGGATTACTAAGAATTTTTTTGAAAAAGTAAAAAAAATGTTAGGAAAAAGTGTTGCTGAGCATTTTCTTTTTTGAACAAAATAATAAAAAAAGGCTGGGAAAATAAGCGTTCCTAGTAGTAAAGGCAAACATGGAAGACTGCATTCATGTTTTGATTCTATATATTGGAAATTTCTGACGACTTTGTTCATTTCATTTAAATAGTCTATTAATTTTTACTGTTCAGAAGGTAATAAAAGTGTTTTTTTAAAGTAAAACAACATTTTTAGAAACTTCTGTGGTGTTGAGATGAACACAATCATGAGGAGTGATGCCGACTCAGTAATGCAGCAGATAATTATTGAAGTCTGACAAAAAGCATATAAGGAGAAAGTTGACAGGAAGGAAGACATTTGGAGAAAAAGATTGCAAAAAAAAACAAAAAAAAACAAAGTCAAAAGCAATGAAAGCAGAATCACATACCGACTGTCTCCATGTCACGCTGCACTGATGCAGTAATTCATGCAAAAGGAGCCCCAACCAAATGGTACAGTAGATGGACATACTTAAAGTAGCTCCACATTTCTGTATTAAAATCAGTTTCATTTGTTCTGATGTAATATTTTAATTTTCTAACAAACTGAATAGTGGGATTTTGCAAGCTGTAAAATCCATAATTCATCTATATTTCACTCTCATGAATCTAAATAAGTTGGAAGTTTCACTTTTGGCAATGAATTAAAGAAATACATTAAAATTCTGATGATTTTAATTAGAATATTTTCTTATAGAGAACAAATAACTGATGAGCTTACCATTGCCTGTTCAATTTTATTATCAATGGCAACAATGTTGGTTCCAGAGGCACTGAAAGAAAAAAGAAAGAAGGAATTAGATCAGCTTTAGCTTCCCTGCAGAAGTTGGTCATTTATCCTGAAACAACAACAAAACACCCAATACAAGAAATCGATCTGGACAGTGTAGATAGCATCGGTCAGCGCGTACATAAAGGAAAAAGTTATTTTATAACAGAGTAAAGAAGGTAAACATCATCTTTATGACACATAATCAGTGTTAAAATTTCATAATAAAATCTGAGATTTTCTGGGCGCTGATCACACAAAGGAAGAAAACACAGAAGTGAAGAAAATGGAGAAAACAAACTTGGTTATAATGGCACAATACTTTATAGGAGGAACATCCGATATGTCCGGCAATATTTAAAGATGATAAAAAGTTAGGAAGTGGAAGGAACGGCTTTTATCTGAAAAACATGGCAAATAAAATCCAGTAAAAGAAACCGGCAGAAGTCGTCACTTAATTAGGAGCACTTAGTTGTTATTGCAGGGAACAAACAGGAAAAAAGGACACAAAATTTTACTCCGCTGTAATCTCAGTGAGTTGGTTCTACACAGTATTGACTCAGGAGGCGTGAATACAAATAGAATAAAATTTATTATCCCACAGAGGGGAAACTTAGGCGTGTAACCGCAGCATCGAGATATACAGGTTTACAGAAAAGTCTTCCAAAAGTGTTATAAAAATATATAAAACAAGATTACCAATAACAGCAATTAATAGTAATGATATACTGCACAAGATAAAGATACTGTGCAGTTATCAGAACAGAAATATTGATCAATGATTTTGATTTATTTAACCTCCTACCATTTCACAACTTGTGTTGGTTTGTCACATAAAACACTGAAGTGTGTGGATGTGAGACAAAATACGAATCCTTTTTGAAACACTGAAGTATGAGCAAAATTACTTTTCTCCACTAGAGGGCGACAGAGAGCTTTGTGTCCAGCTGCATCAGTCAGACTTGAACCAACTGTCCAACTGTTGTCCACAAACTCTCATGAGTTTCTGAAACACTCAATATTTTTGTAAGACGTGAAGCTCAATCCCAGCATGCCTTGCAGCACAGTCCCCGTCCCGTCAGCCCCTGAACCCTACCCTCTACCCCCTACTGGGGACAAGATGTCCTGTTCCTCTGCAGTTCGTCCGGCTGGTGTGCGCGAGACGGGCGGAAGCGCTCGGCTGATTGTTATCAGTGGGATGTGCTGGGGAGGAATGCTTCCCATACCTCTGCTGCCATGACGCCCCGTCACTCATTTTATTCTCTCCTTCCCTCTGATTCGTTCCTAAGGCATGACTAAGCTACATGGCCTGCCCGGCCACCTGGCCTCACATGGCTCCTGAACGCCCGCTACGAGAAATCCACTCTGTGACACACGCCCATCGCTTCAAGACATGAATTTATTTTTAATTCTTCCCCCCCCCACAGACCACATTATCCCCCCCACCCAACCACCACCACGAGAACGAACCGTTTCATAACCCAAAGCTGCGAAAAATGTGTGTTTAATTTAGGCACAGTGAGCTCTCCTAAACTTTTCTTCCCTAATGGAATTTTTTTCTTCCTCTGAGTCTATAAAATAAAGAGCTGATGGACTCTGGGTTCCACCCTTGTTGCTTCAGTGGCTTTTGACAGT